GAATCAAAGAAATATGCGTCATACTGAAGGCGCTAATTGTCGCGGTGTTTTACCAAATACTTTACAGAAGAAAGCTGTTGAAAAAACAAGTAACATTGCGCAGAAAGCGGCGCAGGAAGCGAAAGCCGCGTCCGAAGCGCAGAATATTGCTGGTCAACAAGCAGCTCGTCAAGTACTTAATTATGTTATTCGAAAATATATTTCGCTTTGAATAACAAATTTTGAGATGACTTTGAAATATTTTATTTACGACACATTTTGCTCGTCTAATATTTTTTAAATATATGGGACAATTAACAAATTAACAAATTAAGAGAATGGTACTTCTTCTAATTTTTTCTTTAATTCTGTTAAATCTGCACCAGTATGATTATATTATCTGATAAAACTTTGCACGTAAAATTGCTGTAGAATTAATGGCACGCGAGCGATCTGTGTTGTTAATTACATTCGTGCAAGTGTGTTAAGATCGGTATTTTATTAAGGAAATACGCCACGTGTATACGTAATAGGTAAAGGCTCAACTGGCAGAGAAGGCAGTTCAAGCTGCGAAAGCTGCCGAGGCGGCCTTATCGGGCAAGGAAGCGATGGTTGAACAGCTGCGAGAGGAAGTGAAGGAAGCAAGATCGGTGGTTCAAGAAGAAACATCTTCCTTGCAACAAGCACAGGCTAACGTCAATGTCGCAGTGCAAGCGGCGCGGCAGTCACAAGATCAGGTATATGATAGGTAAAAATCAAGATATATGAAGGTATATAAATCACAATACAAATTAAATGCAAATAATATGTAATATCAGTATGAACGGTAACATTTTGCACTTTGTTTTCAATTTAAATTACTTAGACCGTTTTAGTTGTATTCAAACTTTGTGTTCTGATTTTGACATTGGCCTTATCTAATCCTTCAGTTTCTGCCTTAATTTTTTTAATTTCTTTATATATTTAACTTGATCATTCATTTACCTTGGTAGGTAATATTTGCTATATAAAACTCGATGAAATTGATGAAATATATAACTGACTATATATCGATCATCATCTGTAAATCGTCGGCTTAATATTAGTTTATAAGTTTTAGCAACTTGTTTAATTAAAAACGTAATTTATACAAATTTATATAACATTTTGATTATGCTTTATCTAAAGCATTGATTCTGTGCAATTTGATATGCTAATAATTTTTTTGAAACTGTAGCTGAGAACATTAATGAACGCAGTGCATACAGCCAAATCGAATGCGGCAAACGCGCAGGCAGTTGCAAATGGGGCACAGAGATCGCTGCGAGAAAAAGAGGAATTGCTGGAAGCAGCCAAAAGGCGAGTGGATGAGCTATCAAATCAATTACAAAGCGCTCGGCAAGATCTTGTGAATACGAATCGCGCAGCAGCCAAAGCCAATGCTGCTGCGAATGAAGCGAAGGCGAACGCCGCTAGGAACAAAAGAAAATTAGCACATCTCAGAAAAATGCGTGCGCCACGTCTGAGAGCAGAAGCTTCTTCTTGAGCAGAAGCTTCTTCTATGTGCATTTTATTATACATTGAGATTTATTACACACTTAAGCAAGATTTACATGATGCTTTTTAATAGCAGTTAAAATATTAATCTTCTAACGAATTAGAAAACTAGCAATTAAAAACTAGCAGCTTAAGTAACATAAATTATAATTAAACATTTTTTTTTACTGATAAAAAGACATTATGTCAACTTTAATTTCTCAAATTAAGTCAATTGCTAGCAAGATTTAAAGTAAAAATTGTGTAATGTAGCCGTTACTACATAAAGAACTACATAAAGAACAAAAAAATTCTTTGTATCTTTCGAAAATAAAATAATAATAATTGTATACCAACATATGATATTACAAATAATATGATATAAGATTAATCTGATAAATCTTTTGTTTTTTATTTAATTTTCTCGATAAATATGTTTTGAAAGTACAGAATATACTTTATAAGATGTAAATTTTAGCAATTCTATTTACATATAAGTATAGCTTAATAAGTATATTCGCGATTTATACGACGTAGCAAATATGAATATTATGAAATTTTTAATTATCTTCAAAAGAGTTTATATATAATTTATAGGAAGGAGAATCTCTTGCGGGGAAGGTAAAATATATTTAGATCAAAAATACGATAATTCTTCTTATGTATATTTTATAAATAACTAAAATTTCAGGAAACATATTTATGATGACTATTAGTTAGAGTTACTATTTTCGAACGCCAAACTAAACAAAGGTAATAAAACCACAGTAATATAATAATAAGAAGCTAAGGATCAAATTGAAAAATATCTCAATGAAAAAACATCTCAATGAAAACGATCTGTCAGATAATGCTAATAACCATCTAATGGAAAATGTTTATATGCTATAATTTTTTATACACAATTATATAACATTGTACACGCGCTGACATTTACATTAAAATCATGACATAGTTCATGAACTGAAGTGGGCGTTACGCTTCGATTATCTTTTACCTTTCTAGAACGCCACAAATGTAATCCTGTTCGCACTTTTGGTGTAATATTACAAACGCAATGGAATTACATACCCACTATAATTTGAAAAAAAATGTAAGAAAGAAAATGTATTTGAGACAATTCCCGTACTTTTGATCAATAATAACTAGTATTTTTTCTTAAATTATAAATTTTCTCACGTGTGGCAAAAAGACTTTCTCTTCGAATCCTTGGCTTGTAAATCCTTGATTTATATTTAGCCCTTTCATAACGCTCCATCGATGGCTCGTTGATTCTATATTTTTATTACTCAAGAAGATTATATACGTAGATAATTAAATACGATGCGGTGAACTTGTTAAGATTATATCAAGATTTGAAAGTGAAAAACTTTTTAAACATTTTCATTACGATACCTCGTGAAATTTAATCGCAAATTGTTAGCAATTATTTGTCGTAAAATGTAAGCATTACAATATGTTATGAAAAGCAATATAATATTTGTGTAAAAGGAGGGAGTCTAAAAATGATCAACTTTGTCAGTAAACCGACACCTTCAAAACCTATGCATTTATCATTTTGAAAGTCTATATATTTATGAAAAAAAGGAAGCTTATTTACATAAGAAAACTTGAAAACCGTCCAAAAATAATAAAGTAGGTTATTTGAATGCTTTGCAAAACTCATTTTGTTTCTATATAATGAACGATGATAGATTTCAAAATTAATAATGTGTTTACATTTAACACATATGTTGGATCATTAAACATCTTCTAATTATTCTGCATATAAAAGTATTAAGGGAAAAATATCAAAAAATCAATAATTTTTACTAGATATTTTATACTTTATTTTGACACATATTGACATGAAATATTAAATATCTCGTAAACTATTAGTTTTTTTATATCTTTACCTCAATACTTTTATAATATAGACATTAGAGAAATCATTTTATGTAAAAAATCATATTACATTTAAAAAAGTGGAGGTAACCTTCATGCAACCTTAAAAAAATCAATTTCTTCAAAAATTGATTTTACTATTATTTGTCCCTCTCATACAACTTTGGTCTGAAACATTTTTACCTATTAGATTCAATTTTTTATATATTTCAGTATTTTTAGGTGAAACACCCTGTATGTTTGTAGATCTTTTTGATAGTGTATTCTTTACAGTGTTTAATGCTGCAACCAGGGTCAGGCATTGTATTATACATGAGGTAGTTTATCTTGTATTAAACATGGTAGTTTATCTTGTATTATACAGTATAATATATCGCTTAGTTTTATACATAGGCCGGTATTCATAGTCGGATCTTATATTTAAGACCGTCTTAAGTACAATCTTAAGATGTCATGAACCAATCAGAGGGCCGCATTAGCGACTTAAGACATTACTTAAGACGGTCTTAAAATAAGAACCTACTATGAATACTGGCCATATTATACTCCATGTGGCACCATCTCTACATCATATGTATAATTAATTCCTAAGATCAATCTCTACATTATCCACGCTAAAAAGCAGTCCGAAATTCGCGAACAGACAGCCAATCAAGTACATGTAACGTGATATTTTTTTATAAATACAAATTTGAAAATCAATCGCATTTCTTTCTTATATTTAGAGTATTTTTCTGTTTTTTTTTTGGAAGAATATATTGCAACTAGAACCACATACTTCCATAAATTACATTAGACTGCTAACTTTAGGTCTGCTCGAGTTGCTTGAAAACTTCAAAAATTTTTGAACTTAAAATAAGATAGATATATATTTGGACGTTAAAAAGAGAAAATGCAAGGACGTTGAGTGTGCACAAAAAGTGCACGCAATGCGAACAGATCTAATATCTATAGCTTACGCTCATCAGTTCTGGGAGTTGATTATTTCATCTTATTTCAAAATATGCAATTGACTCTCTGGGAAGTGTTTAAATTCTCCGAATGCTCTCCAAGGATGTATTCCAAAATTCGATTCTATCAACCCAATCATCATTTATCCTTGTTGTTCACAGAATATTGAACAAGGATAAAAAATATTCGGAATTGACAGAGTCGAGTTTTGAAACGCACACAAAGTATCATGTTATCCTTGTTTAACATTCGGTAAATTGAAATCAGTTACATTAGAATAAGAAACACAGTATCGCTAATGTCATTTCGGGAACAGAAAACACTTTAGTATGCACACTTCTTGAACTAATGCAACCTACAATGTAGAGTTAGATTATTTTTCCTTTCTACACTGAAAGAAAAAATTGGCTGCTGCAGCAAATTAGATGGTAAAATATGGCATAGCATTTTTAATTGGCTACAGCAGCCAATTTTTGGTTTTACCATCTAATTTACTGCAGCAGGCAATCTTTTTTTTCAGTGTACCTTTTCCTTATCTCTTTTAAATTAAAAAAAATTTTATGCATTTATAAAAAGTGGCAAAAATATGGATTATTATTATGTACATTTATAAACTTCAATTTCTTACATTGATTTATCAAAAAATTGACTTTCATATATGTATATATAATTTAACTGTTAGATTTCTTAATACGTTCAGCTGGATTCAGTTAGTACTATATTGATACTGGATTGGTAAAGCTTTCTTCTTTGCGCGATGTAATTTAACTTTCATAATGGCATGGCCGATTTTATTGATGCTATCTTGATACTCCGATCTCCAGGATGGCAATAATATTTGTCTTCTCTCGATATCACATTTTTTTTCGCGTTTTGATCCGATTTTTGGTTTACGATCGCGTTTCCCAACGCTCGCATTTCCATTATATATCGAAGAAGAGAAACGACAATACGGCGAGCAATCAGTTTTTATGATTATTTGTGTTGGCATACTACATGGTAAGCGTTGATCATTTGTATCGAGGACTTTCAACGCCATATCTCGCTGTGCCATACGTGCAGCTGCTAAGAAAATTAAAATTTCTTTAAGCAACCTCATTAATAATACAAAGATAAATGATGAACGCGTGTAATACGTGACACCTACGATTTTTATCATACTCACCAGGATCACTGTAATCCATTTGATACGTCGTTTTCATAAGGTCAATATCCATCTTCGTAATCGGTTCTTTCGAAAATGATTTCTCTAACGCCTCGTATAAACTAGGATATCCTTCTTTAAGCTTCAAAAATTAAATTAAAAATTTAATCCTTTGTATTCATTACATTAATTTTAATTTATTATATTATTTATATTTAAATTAAGCCTTCTTGCATATCAACGTTACAATAATTTTGTAAAATAAATTTGTCGTAAAATGTAAGTAGAAATTATGTATACAGTGTATAACATAAAAAAGGCCCACGAATCATATAGCGCTATTTTTGATCAAAAATTTAGTTAAAATGTCTTGAGCCATTTTTTTTACAATGCTCAATGAAGCAGTTATTACTGAGTAAAGCTAATTCAATCAACGCGCGAATGTATGTACACTCACATTTACTATCAAGCACGTGGCTCATTGACATGTACTCGTCTAAAGGATGACGCCAGTTGAAGAAATATAGATTTATACTTCAATTTTAATGGCTATATTGTTCCATGTATAGATAGAAGTATAGATTCATATTTTAAATGAATACGTTGTTTTATGTATTATAAATTGTTTTGCTTAAAAGCAATATTATCTTAAAATTATCTAGATAAAACAAATTATAATTTCATCTTTTATCTAGATAAATTTAAAATAAATAAAATCATCTTTATTTTACTTAAGATATGTTTAAGCATAGTTTATTTTATCTTTACCTAGATAACTTCGAATATATATATAAAAACCAAGAGGAACGTGAATACATATATGAGCTACATACAATCGTAAAATAAATCTTTTATTCTAGGGTCATAAAAGATCAATTATGTTAAAAAGTTTGAATATTTTCTTTTCTTACACAAATACTGGTTAGCTGATCTAATCGCGTTATATCTGCTTTGGGAGCCCGCTCTATTTTGGTTTCATAAATCTTTGGCTCCAGCAGTCGTCCCATAGGACCCATCCGACTCCAATCGGGGTACTTCTCAAGTTTTCCATCCCATAATTCTTTACGTTCTTGTCGCGAATCAGTACAAGTGCAATGTTTAACGATAATTGGTTTAATTGAAGGTTGAATACATATGGACGACACGTAGGGCCAGGTATAATCTTTCTGATAGGTCGAAATATATTGATTTATTTTATTCATGATTTAATTTCTGGATGATGGAAATTCCTGAACTATGGAAGTTCCTAAATGATGGAAGCTTTATGAGGATGTTTTGAAGATTTTAAGTCATTGTTGTCATGTACTTTTGCCGATCTTTTTAACACTATCAAAATCAAATATTGATATTAAATGTATGTACATACATGAATAATTTTTAATCTTTATTTACCTGTCAATTTGATAACATTTTGAAGCAATAGTTTATTGTTTTATTATAATTTTCATCGTATCTGTTTCCAAATTTTTGTACACGACTGATCTTACTAGCGTATTTGCATTTTACGATTACATTCTTTTACTTCAAATTTTCATATATTTTTAAATAAAATTTTTGACGGTTTAACCTTGATATAGATTGACATATAGATAGTCGATTTGTTGAGAAAACGCTTCTCAAATTTTTTCGTTTCTAATTTATAAAAATACGCAATCTTCAGGATATGTGTACATGGAGAATAGATTTCGATCGAAATTATTTTAAATTATACCGGTTTTCCTAGAAAACGTAATAAAAAATTAAGAAATAATTGAATAATTCCGATCGAAATCAATTTCAAATAATTCCACAACACACGTGTTCTATATTATTCTATAAGCAGACTTCTATAAGTAGATTGCCAATTTCGTCTTCATGTTTGATAATAGCGCCATATTTGTCTTCAATCACTCTCACATGTATGTAAATCACATGGATAATCACTGCTCGCACGGCGCTGATTCGCACTTTTTGAATTTTGTATTTCTCTTGATTGTGCTATATTGTGCTATGTTTGTGCTGATTTGTGCCAAGTTTTTCATGAAGTTTCACGTTGTAATAATATTACTCTCAAATTTTGGAATACCCTGTATGTATATGTATATATATATGTTATCATAATGTTAATATTTTTTCATAATGTTGCATGTTGTCTTACAAAACAATATTAAAATAACTTAAGTAATGTGTTCTAATTTTTAGCTTTGAATAGCTATAAGTCAAAACCTGTTTATTTTCACGAGTTATCTTTTTTCTAAGATATCTGTTAAACCTAAACCTCCTCTGTGTATAGAATTATTATTATTATACAATCTTTATAAGTTTTTTTTAAATTCGCTAGTTCTTAAGCGAATCAAAACAAAATTATTCTTTTCAAACTAAACTTTTAATTAGCTTATTCGATAATGAAAACTGTGCGTGAAATTCCCCCATCGATGTTAACTGAAATTTTATCCAAGATTGCAATAAGCAAAAATGTGAAAGCGCAGATTGGCAAGTCGGTGATTTTTTCGAGTTGGTACTTCTCAAATTTTTAATTTAAATCGAATTTCTATCATGTATTTTTATGACCATGCCATAAAGATCTCTCAATGTGATTAAAAAAACGTTTATCCATATTTCGGATTAACTACACTGAAAAAAAAGATTGGCTGCTGCAGCAAATTAGATGGTAAAATATGGCATAGCATTTTTAATTGGTTGCAGCAGTCAATTTTTGGTTGTGTTATCTATCGAAATCCTATACTGACATTGCAGATAGACTAATGCAACAAAATTGGCTGCTGCAGCCAATTAAAAATGCTATGCCATATTTTACCATCTAATTTGCTGCAGTAGCCAATCTTTTTTTCAGTGTATATATAGTAATAACATGGTAGAATAAAATTATAAGAACATCGTGCTCTCGGAAAATAGGGAAGGCTAGCAGTGTGGTCCGATTTAGTCGAAATAAATCATCTTGCCTTCTCTCGTCAACTGGCACGTTTTCGCCGCGAAGGAAGAAAAGCTCGGAAACGGACTGTACCGATGGTCGCTCTAAAGATATCGCTGCGTCCACGCTACCAAGAATAGAACAGTGATGTCGTCATTTTGAACATCGACTAAACAAGACGCGATGAAGTCGTGCCATGCATACACACTAACGGTTTTCCAACGGGCTAACTAATCGAATTTGGGCTTTATATGCGCGATATATCTTCAATAGATTACATATCATCAGCCAATATATGCTCGTTTTCCTTTCTCTGCAGTCTTCAAGTTCTCTTCCAATTCTCCCCCATTCTCCTTAATGCAATATAAAATCATATAGAGTTTGCAAGGCAGAACAATATATACAAGATATGATTAAATAGTGCGAAGACGAATATTTAAATATGCCTCAATTACGCATAGAAAATAGATGAATATTTCACAAATTATTACACTATCTATACTATTGTATCGCGAAAGATGTGCATTGGTGAGTGCAAAAGTTTATGTCTAATTTAAAAAAAAGTTTTTAAAGTAAATTTAGGACGCAATTTTTTACTCAAATTGGCAGTAATACTATTCCATAAAGCAAAGTTTTAGCTTTAAGAATCTGCTTTTTTTTAATTGTGATACAATGATTTTTAACGGAGTTATAAGCAATCAATGTCAACGTCTTCTTTATTTAATCCGCGATAACTCAGTAACAAAAAATTTTAGAAATACTTTTAAAAAATAATTTTATAGGAAAAATTTAAGCTTTTATGTTAGAAAGTGAAACATTTTAGCAAATTTTTTTTTATTTATTTTGGATGAATAAATCCACGAAGTGAAAAGAAAATTTCCTATTATATTCAGCTCATAGTCTTCTATATATAAAAATGACCAAACTCACAGAAACTCAATAAAACATAGTGACCTTTTGAAGGTGGAGATTTTAAGTTTTAAAATATTTTTTCTTAAATTTAGATTTCGTTTATTTTTAACGAAGTTGCAACTATTCGAATTTTAAATATACCACAAATGTTTGCACTCGTCTAATATAAAACCATTATTTATTTATATCGCTAGAATATCTCAACGTGTGTGGTTCCGAGACGACCGCGACCAGTTCATTGTGCGAATTTAGCTTATGTCAGATCGTCGAGAACGATCGATAAAACGAACAAGGAAGAATTTCTTGTATTACATTGTTTAACTTGTAGTTTAGCTGTTTGGTACACAGAGAGATCGAGGCTCACGTTGTCTGTTCTCAAAGACCGCTTTTAACTCTCGGCAGATGTAGCCTTCTGAGAACTGAGTCGTTTTTATCCTTATTCTGTTCAATAGAATCTATTAGATAATCAGACTTGCTTTGCCTATAAATATAGTTCATAAAATAACGATAAAAAGTCACAATTTATGAATTTGAATTTATACACATACTTTTACGATGTGAAAGGGATGTACAAACAATCTTTGAAAATTATATGAATATATCAGATCTCAAGTGACCCAGTCACTGCTAATAGTTAATAAAAATGCGGAGAGAAGTATTTCGCTCCGAATTCCGTAGACATGATTGCAGACGTGACCGCAGACGCATCTATACAATGCGTGCTATTGAAACGAAAGAATGATCGACTCAATAAAAGAATGAAAGAATAGACAAAGTGAAACCATGTGAAACAACGAAAAAATATTCGAAAAACCATGATGCTGAGGCCAAGAAATTTATGTCGAGCTTTATCATATCCATCTTTTTCCCACTTTGCGGTTTTGGTCTGAAATATTTGTTCATTCACACGAAGAAATAAAGAGAATCAGGAAAGTCACACGTGTCTCTGTGCCATTAAAAATCATCAACACATATGTTTGTGTCATAAATTTTGGCCGGCAGCAAATTATTATTCGCGCGATTTAATGCGAGAATAGGCTCTGACCAAAAGCCGTTACGAAGATTTATATACTGCGTTCTCCACCTTATTTCTTTCTTCTTCTCGATTAGCTTCTTAATATTTTTGAGACAAAGAAAAACAGAAAATCTTTTTAACAAAGAGGCTAGGATGTGTGCGAAATGTATATCATAGAAGAGTTGGTAAATGTAGTTTAATGCATGTAAGAGAGGCATCATATTATATATATATTATCTTCGAAAGTTCGAATTAACTCTAACTTTTGAAAACAAATATTTTTTTGTGAATTTTCTATAGTTAATGAATTCTTATAATTACAGGAGTTTAATTGTTCCATAATTGCTATAGTTTCTTCCAGTTGCCATTTTGGCCTAACTTGAAATTGATATTCTATAAAATCTTAAATTTTCGATATGTTTTAAGAGAGGGTGAGAGAAGGAGAGAGAGAAAGAGAGAGAGAGAGAGAGAGAGAGAGAGAGAGAGAACTGATAGGATCCATTTCAAATTTTAATTCGATTTTATGCTTAAATTTTTGTACTTTAGACATTTTCTGCTTCAATTACATTTGCTTTAACGTCTTACTTATTTCTCAACATATTTTTTTATTAACTGTAAAATTAAAATTGTGTATATGTAACGCGTTTTCAATTAAACGATAGTGACGTTTGTATACATATGCTAATTTGATGTCGAATGAAACGCGGAATAAGTTTGCGTAGATATTCTATAAAATTTATTCGTGTTCGCATTCCTGGCGGTACAATGTCCAATTAAACATTTGATATAAGGACAGCAAATCCGCGTCGTGTATTTTGATTTTCGTGGTGATGTGTGTGTTCTTGCTACGAAACGACGCGGTAACAAGAATTCACCGTAAGGCGAAAGTGAAGAGAAGGATCTTGAAGTGATCCGTGGAATAGCGAGAATTTTGTACGGATACGAAGTGTAAAATTATCATTTAATGATCATCATATACGTCGGATACTATCAAGAAGGACTCTTTATAGTGCATAAAATGTCAACCGAAAAATCTCGTTTACATTGTCTACAGTATCGCGTTGATAAACAAACTCTGGACGTCTACTTCTTCATTGTCACAATACCTAATAATATTGTTGCTTTGCAATTTTCGCGCGAAATAACTAAATATCAATATATCAATACTTTTTTTATTTTTCATGAAATTATATTTTGACATATGATGATAAAATACAAAAAAAGTTTATCTCTAATATATTACTGACTTGTAAGTTACATTCCTAAAATGAATTATAAAATGGATTCATGAAGATAAAGAGTCTCTGGACATGTCATATGGAAACCATGAATTGCCGTCGTAAAAGTGTTTGTACTGTACTTAAACTGTCTTTATTTAACACAAAACTCGATATATGAACTCGACGTTGTCACGCTTAATCTCTTTATTAAATTAGTAAATTTATTTACAAGTTCAGAGAGAGAGAGAGAGAGAGAGAGAGAGAGAGAGAGAGAAATATCTTATACATTAAAGAAAGATACACATTTAAAAAAAAGAGGGTGTAAAATATTATAATTCTTCTCGTTAAGAGCAAGATATCTCTTCCGAAAATATGACGCATCGTGTTCAATTTTGAAAGTTCTATTTTTTGCAAAATTTCCATTATATTATATATCGACAGAATAAAAAAAATATGTATATTTTGCGCTTGATATAAACAAATTTACAAAATTTAAGAGAT